AAAAAAAAAAAAAAAAAAAAAAAAAAAAAAGAAAAGAAAAGATATTCACAATGGGCACATGTTAGAAGGAAGATGCTCACACTCATAGTGATGGGATATCTGGGGAAATTATTGGCCAAAGGAGATGTGTAAAGAGATTAGGAAGACCCCGCACAGAGAGGGGAGAACAGTACTCCTAACACGTGTCGTACTGCAGGAAACTAATCCCGGTGTGCTGTGCTGTGCTGTGCTGTGCTGTGCTGTGCTGTGCGTGCTGCCGCCTCATGCACCGTGAGCCTTGGTGGGTCTGCTCTGTAGGGCTGTGCTGCCTCTGTCCTCCCGTGTGCAAGCACATCACGAAAACATGCTGGCCTGGAGGCAGGTGCTGCGTCGGGAGGTGGGGGTCATTTCCCATCCGTGGATTCTCACCAAGTTCTGAGAAAAACTACAAAGAGCCTCTCCTTCCAGGTGTGTGAGGCAAGTAGGCGTGTTTCGGTGTAAGCCAGAATCTTCATACCCACGTTATTCGGGCAGATTTCGTGTTTAAGGAGCCAGCCTGTTGCCGTGGGAGAGAACTAACACAAAGTTACTTCCTTCCACAGCTTCCTCAGGAGCACTGAGGACTCCAGGCTCTGGCGCTTGTGATGTGGTGGCAGAAGAGTGGCAAAGTAAAAGGAGGAAAAGAGAATAAATACACCGTCTAGGCTGGGCAAGTATCGTTTTAAAGGAACCTCAAAGCACAAAGGAAAATGTACTTGGACAGAGGATGGGAACACACGGCTACCAAAAACAGTACTATCTCTAATACCTGACAACATCCCCACATGGTAGAGTCAGCAACACTCAGAGTCTTACATGTATCTGAGAAGGGAACTTCATTAAACATGTAACGTTCCCCTTCCAAGAGCAGCACCATACCAAACGCATGTGTGACGAAAAGATGAATAAAACTCCATCCTCGATGTGTCTGTGTCTTCGTAGAAAGCTATGAGGCCAAACTGAATATTAGTTTTGAAGCAATTACCATTCTGAGGGAGTCTGCAGAACAAAAACACTGCTGAGCTGACATCCATGCCAGATACCCTTTGCTGATAATGTACTTTAAAAAAACAGCCCCGTTCTCTTACTGTTGCACCTCTATAATAGGTACTTTTGGGTTTGTGCTCTTCTCTGTGCCAGGCACTGTGCTAAGTAACTTACATATGTGATTCCATTCAATTCTCTTTTACTCATGAAGAAACTCAGTGGTTGAATAAACTTGTCCGAGGCACCATAGCTGGTAAGTGGCATTGCTGGTTCTCTGTGACATTCAAAGCTTGTCCTCTTACCTGCTGTTCATCTAGATCTGGGTTTGGCAAACTTCTCTGTTAAAGGACCAGAGAGGAAATATTTTCGGCTTTGTGGGCCACTTGAGCTCTGTCACAACTACTCAGTTCTGCTGTTGTAGCATAAAAGTGGTCAGACAGTATATAAATGAATGGCTGTTTCAATAAAACTTGATTTATAAAAAGAGGCGGCAGGCCGTAGTTAGCCACTCCTAACCTAGACTTGAGCATGTATGGGGGGAGATGGGTGTGGACCGTGCACGTAGTTCTTACAGGGCAGTGGCTGTGACTCTTTCACCTGTTTCAGAGTGGCTGGGTGTGGATGCATTTTGTTACCAATCTGTCAACAAGTATTTCTCGGAAGGGGTTGGTTGTCATCCAGGATTTCACAGTCTAGTTGAGGAGGCAAGATTTGTTTATAAGGAGGAAGAAAATAATGCGAAGTGCATACATATGAGCAATGAAGTGGGTGCTTCAGACCCTAAGTGCTACAGGAAGAGCTTAAAGGATGGGTGCCATCCCTTAGGATGATGGGGCTTCATGGGGTCATGAAGCCCCCCCAAAAGTAAATATTTGCTAAATATTCACCATGTGTCAGGCATCATGCTAAAATGTCACAGTATGTTATCTATTATAGTCTATAAAACATAAGTTTGGTCCTAAAGCCCAGAGCAACTAAATGACTTGATCACGGTTCTACAAATAGGAAATATCAGAACTGGGATTTGAATCTGGGTAGATCGACTTCAGACCATGGGCTCTTGACCACAGTGTTCTGTTTTCTCTCTAGAGAGAGGCAGAGGCAGACTGTTAACCAAACGAAAGGGAAATCAAGAGGGAACTATAATGGTTGACATACAATTAGTCAAAACTAGGGGATTGTTCCCTCCTTTGAACAGCAAAAGAAAACAACTTCTTATGTGCTTTGAAATAACTATAACTTTCAGCATTGTCGGGGTATGAAACATTTCAGGTCGTCGTTAAAAGACAGAACAAACAAGAATTCGTACTCCATCAATCACAACGTGCAGGCTTCGGAGGGCAAAGGCAGTGAGGGAGCACTGTCGTGTGCTGGCTCAGGCACTGGTCTCGGGAGGCGGGTGGAATGTGTCCCTAGCTACTGGGCGGGCGGAAGAGTGCTGACTTACCATCATATTCTGGGAAGTAATCAACTAGGTGGGAATACATAATTTTCTCCTCTAGAAGGTCTTTCTTGTTTAAGAACAGAATAACTGAGGAGTTCTGGAACCAGGGATACGTGATAATTGTTCTAAAGAGTGCTTTGCTTTCCTCCATTCGGTTCTGAAAAAAATCATCAGAAAAACAACGCGTGAATTACATGATTACTCAGTCTGTGAATTGTTTTGTAAGTCCAACCCATCTTTGGTATGCATTCAGTTTCTGTGGCCCTGGGCTGGGCTGTAGCAGCTTTTGTCAGGATTTACATGCAAAAGGCTCAGCAGCTCTTTTCATTAGGCAGACTCTCAGGTTGACAAGCGGAAGAGAATAATAATAATAAACATCTGAAGTAACTCTTAAGGTTGAAAGAGAATCATCAAAGGCTGAAGAATCATGCATCTGGCACACTGTCACAAAAGTCCACCAAGCGTCACAAATGTCCACTAAGAATTATTCATTCATGGCCAAATGCGTAAGATCTGAATTAAGAACGAAGTACCAGGCTTCATTTTGCATTTCTTAAGCTATGTGTACTTGGGGCTTCACTATTAGTTCTATTTCATAACAGTCAAAACAAAGTTACTTAGGGGGCTTCCCTGGTGGTGCAGTGGTTAAGAATCCGCCTGCCAATGCAGGGGACACGGGTTCGAGCCCTGGTCTGGGAAGATCCCACATGCCGCGGAGCAACTAAGCCCGTGCGCCACAACTACTGAGCCTGCGCTCTAGAGCCCGTGAGCCACAACTACTGAAGCCCACGTGCCACAACTACTGAAGCGCACGTGCCTAGAGCCCGTGCTCCGCAACAAGAGAAGCCGCCGCAATGAGAAGCCCGCGCACCGCAACGGAGAGTAGCCCCCACTCGCCGCAACTAGAGAAAGCCCCCGTGCAGCAACAAAGACCCAACGCAGCCAAAAATAAATGCTTGCCGCAACTAGAGAAAGCCTGCGTGCAGCAACGAAGACCCAATGCAGCCAAAAATAAATAAGAAACAACAACAAAACCCCCACAAAGTTACTTAATTCTTTGCCCAAAGTGCATCTGTATTCTTAGAATTATTACTACTTACTTTACAAATATATATATTCCCTGATTAGAAAAACACATGGAAAAATATTTTTAGATCACACATTTCCTATTTATCAGAACACACTTTCTCCCTAAGTTTCACTATAATTTTCATACAGAACCGTGGACGTATACATAGTAATTACTTGAAGATACAAATGTAATATTTCTCACTACCTTTAGTGTTGGTGAGAAACTATTCTCACCTGAAACCATCATCAAGCCACCCTTGGTAACGAAACCTCACCTCAACGGATTCTCAAGGAATTAGTCAGCCTGGTCTTACAAACAAAGATACTAATCAAAGTTACTCTTGAGACTCACCAGCCAAAAGCTAAAGAGTCCTAGTTTAGCCCACATCTATTCACCAGCTTCCTTCTACAGACACACTTGCCTCTAAATCATTCCCATCCTCAGGTCATGGACAAAGGACATTTGGAGACTCCTCCTTTCCCTGGTGCACGGGCACACTTCTTTTCCCAGGGAACACTCTCCAACCCCCTTAGTTCTACGTGTTATGACCAAGTCTGGGGCAATGGAAAAGCCTGCTGGGGATTGAGCCCACCTCCACTGCTACCAGGTGTGTCAGTGGTTTAAGCCAGAACATCCTATTCTCCCTGGTACGTGGGCTGATTCAGGGCTGGGCTCTGAATCCAGGCTCATGTCACTCGGTGTATTGCTTCCCTGGTTTATGGTCATCAGCGTAGCCAAGCTGCTCAAGCGGTGTCATTAACCCCAGGATTTTTGCTAAGAGCTCTGGAACAGAGAACCCTGCTTTCATCAAGAAAATGGAAGGGGCATTGTATAGCCTCGAGCTTCTAGCAACCATCTTGCAACAGGGAGAAAAAGAAACCAGGTTTTAACTTCTTGGTCAAACCATGCCTGAACTTGGTTATGCCTCTGGATTTTTTTGGTAACATGAGCCAATTAAGTACCCTTTAGTTTTTAAGCTAGTTTGAACTGTATTTTTCTGGTTCTTATTATATATAAAATGCTTCTCAGGGAAGGACAAGTATCATATGATATCACTTATATGCAGAATCTAAAAAAAAATGATGCAAACGAACTTATTTACAAAACAGAAACAGACTCACAGACGTAGAGAACGAATTTACAGTTGGGGGGAAGCGGGGGAGGGAGGGACAGACTGGGAGTTTGGGACTGACACGTACACAATGCTACATTTAAAATAGACAGCCAACAAAGACCAAACGTATAGCACAGGGAACTCTGCTCAATACTCTGTAACAACCTAAATGGGAAAGTAATTTGAAAAATAGATACATGTATATGTATAACTGAATGATTTTGCTGTACACCTGAAACTAACACAACATTGTGAATCAACTCTACGCTAATATAAAATAAAAATTAAAAAAAAAAAGTGCTTCTAATTAATATACCTTTCTTAAAGGAAACTGAATGAATGATGTGTGAAGGATGACCATGAAGACCAAGGCTCCAAGCTGTTAACACATTCTGCTCAGCTTTTGCCTTCCTGATACAGAATGTGTCCTCGGTTTCACAGGGCAGCATTATGGAGGCCAAGTACACTCCTCTGCATTACCCTTTGACTGCTGTTCCAGGAAATCTCCGGGAAACTGAGCTCGCCAAGCACAATTTTCTAGATCCTGAATATGTCTTGCTCTTTTCTTCTATAAAGTGTGCCGATTCAAATCAGGTTGAATAGGCCCACTTTTCAAAAGGAGATCTTTACCAAACCTGGTAAAGTGGATCGCCACCAACTGAAGCTGAGCAGGACCCTGTGGGGCTCCTGGGCATGGAAGCCCTTCTGTGTCCCCCATTTCTTGTTTGTAGGGAATAGGCTTCAGCCTCCACGACCCTCCCAGAGTTCTAAAGGGCAGGTTCAAACATTTGCTAATTAGGGAAGGGAGGCGATGCAGAGACAAGGGAGGAGCAGTCAAGAAACAACAGTGCAGCCTTGGGGCAGGTCCTGGTTCTGCCTCAAGGGATACACCTAACAATATCTTTGAGCTCTTCTGCAGAACTAAAACCCCCAACAAATGGAAAATGTTAACTACTTGATGAAGCATTCTTCACTCCAGAGAGAAGGCTGCAGTTTGAGAATCCTGAGAACCAGAGAAGCTCATCAGGAGACCACCTGAGGCCAGATTAAAGCAATGCAGGCCCTGCACACACCCCTGAAACACTGCTACAAAACTCCTCACCAAATCCCCCTGGGTTGGGACACACAGTTTTGAGGGCAGGAGCCTGCTGTGTCCCCCTTTGCCTGGCAAAGCAATAAAGCTATTCTTTTCTACTTCAGTCAAAACTCTGTCTCTGAGATTTGATTCGGCACGGGTGCACAGAGGCCAAGTTTTTGGCATCACAATCTCTTTGACCGCAACACTTTGCGCCTACCATTGCTTACATAATTAAATACGGATGAAATGTGGGACCAGTGTAGTGAAAGGTTACTTCGTGGCTCAAGGGACAGTGTTTATTTTACTGTACACATTTATCTTTAATATAAATAACACGCATAGCCTTTAAACATAATATTTACCATCTACATGCCTTTTTACTGGTTATCATTACCAGTGGTAAAATTTTAAGCCTGGAAACCATATTCACTGAGAAACAATGTCTTGTAGCCTGAGATTTTATAGGTTGCAAATTTTAGGACTGAAGGAAAGCAAAGGCTCTAATAAGAACTGAAATAATTAAAGGATCTAAAGAAGGTTAATTAGATAGTGACATCCCTGATGTGAGAATTAACATTTTTTTCTTATTTACAGCTACAGAAATTCTACAAAGTCATACTGTGGTCTTCAGAGAAGCCTCCTCTAAAGGGTGGGTATGTACATCTTGGCCTCAACCAGGGAGCCTCCATCAGAAAGACTTATTGTAATTAGCACTCTCCAGAAGGCAAAGGGGCCCTATTGGGGGCTTTTCTGGTTGGAGTCCTTCAAGGGTAAGTCGCTAGACCCTGGGTGGAGACAGGGAAAGGGAGAGTGGTCTTGACCTTGAGTCAAAGCACAAGGAGGTGCCTGAAGTCGCTCTGATTAAGTTTCAAATCAGGACTGGAGCCCACAAGCTCCAGATGGGGCTCTACTGGGAGGGGGTCTCATACCAGCCTGCAGGACAACAGCCAGGACAGTGGACTGTGCCCAGCCCCGGGTCCTAGAGATGACTGTCCCTGGCTGCACTGGGCCACTGTGGAGGCATGCCCGCTTACTGGCCTGGTCCAATGCAAGCTTCGCTCGTGTATGCAGTTTGGGGCTGCTCTAGGCTATTTTCCCACTTACCATGTGCCGTGTGGCCTGGGCCTGAGCTTCTCATTCAGGGGAAAGCAAAAGAGCGACAAATCGGACCGCTGATCAGCAGCATCGCCACCCCTATGCCTTCAACCAGATCTACCGAACTCAAATCTTGGAGGGGGAGCCCCAGGAATCTACATTTTAAGAAGCCCTCCAGGGGATTCTGACGTAGGTTTAATTTTGTGAAGCGCTGTAGGTGAGCTTCTCCACATTAACGTGTGTTATGAAATCGCCTGGGGACATGGGCCCTGACCCAGCTTGGGGTGGGACCCAGGAGCCTGCAGTTCTAACAAGCTCCCAAGTGAAGCTGACCTTGCTGACACACGGCACGCACTTGGAGGTGGAAGGTGCAGAAAGCGTGCTGAGCTAGGGACAACAATGAGACAGGCGATGCTCTGTCCCATTTTCGTGATGAGAAGTCCTAGTCACACATCCAGCCCAGTGCCGGAGCCGTGTGATGAAAATATAACTCTGCTGGCTTCATGCTTTTTGTTTTTCCCAATTAGGTTAAGATTCTTACTTTATGCTCTGTAAGTTGTTTTTCGCTCCACAGTGAGAATTCCTAATGCCTTTTTCCACCTGATCAAAACCCCCAGACTAAATCCTAAATGGACTAAATGAGATTTTCATGATGCCTTACAGGGTGGTGGATTGTGCAGTGCGGGAGGCATAATCCACTTTGCTCAGTAAAAACTGAAATCTGTGAGGGAACGGTATGTCCCACAAGACTTGGTGACACTTGCTTTTTACTAATTCTGTAGGGCCTGGAGTTGCAAG